TCTTCACAGGATTTTCAAATAACCACAAGAAAATGTTTGGTAGTTTGTACTAAATTGGAAGCGGTTCACCCATGATTATTACCATTAATATACGTATAATTTTTTACTGCTAGCATTTATTTAAAATTACCGATTAATTAAAAATCCATTCTCATTTTGACTAACAGAGAAGGTATTTCTTATGCATGTCGCAGAATCATAAATAATTTGGGATTTTTGTGGAATATGCAATGTGCCTTTGTGTGTGTCTCACTATGCGAAGGAAATGTATTCTGAATATCTGAAAAGCAGAACCAATCACAAAGGGATTATTTTAGTCTTTATGTTCATAATGCTTTAATTAATGTAAAGTCAAATGTAAATGTCTGTAAATGACTAAAAAAAATAACTAAACAAATTAAACTTTCTCAGTCTTGACATTACATGTAAGGAAACTTCTCGCTAATTTGTTTCACGTATCTTAAAATGTATAAAAATTAACAATTACAGAATACAGTATCCTGTGTGCTGCATAGTGGAGGTTTATGTATCTACAGGCTCTGTCCTCCCTATCAGTGCAAAATTGCAATTGGGAAATGAATGAACAGCAAATTCATCTACTAAGCATTTAGTTGCAGAGTAGGTTATGCACCACTGAGAGAAGACATAAATTCCTCTTTTGTAAATTCAGGGCAAGCATCATAGCTGGAAAGCATTATGTTCAAATAGACTAGTATATCAGATTGGATTGTTTTAAGTGGGAAAGAGGCTATTATATCTCTTCAGGAAAAATCTATATATTTGCTGGAATTCCATGTTTTATGGAGTTGGTGGTTTCAAAAGCAGAATGTCCTCAACTGTTCGTCTTTTTGTAATATATAACGCTTGGCTACTGAAAACACCTGCCTGCATTTATGAGCTGACTGTGGCCGTTTCTTCTACAGGAAGAAACACCACACTGACCTCTTGTGGGGAAACTTTATTACAACACACTACTTGGACACAGGTTTCTAAACATATTGATGTCAAGAATGATCAGACTCATATAAATAAAACCAATACTAATAAAAAACATTAAAGCCGATTTAAAACCTTTATTTGAAAAGCCCAACACATGGGCACATATATGTTATGTGTTAGTGGATAATAATGAGGTCATTATCTATATCTATCAGTGTAGTCATAATGTATTAAGTCATTGAGACAACAGGCTGATGTGTGGCATATTATTGATACACAAACATTCTATTGATTCTTCAACATGCTCTGGGGCAAAACTGACTTGTAGGACACAACTACGCCTCAGTTTCAACAATGTTCTGAGCACTGTGCATGTAATTTATCACCATTAGCTGCACATCTCACATAGTGCCCATGGGGAAATACAGAGGTGTATCTTTACCATTGTTTGCTGAGATAACACCGTAAGCTTGTCAACTAGGGTAGGATAAAGTTATCTAATATAAATGATGTCCTGAAGAAACCAGAGACACCTCCAAGGTGGAGCCGAGGGAACCACATCCACCCATGACCTCTCTAATCATTAGGGTAACTACCAAAATGTTGCAGTGGGTAGTCCAGTAACAATGAAAATACATTTTATTGCACCATGTTTGGCTTCAGTTGGATAAATTACACTCACATATAGACAGAATTATTGATATTAATATTCAAATCTGAAAAAAACAATGTATGTTTTGCATGTGGGTGAAGTTTATCCCCACCTGTATAGCAAACAGCTCTTCTTCTGGTGGTCAACATAGTAAATAAAATGAAACTTTGCTTGTATAAGCCAATAATTATTAAGCTTTACTGTAAAATAGGGAACCAATGTATATCTGTATGTGACTTCGTAACCCTCATATTGACATGCTTTCCAGCCAGCTTGTATACTACAACATCATAACAGAATTCCTGAAATGTAGTTATGGCTTTTGGTTTTAGTGGGCCACTCCAAGCTTTTCAGTGGGCCCATCTTGCCACACATGACAACACATTACTGTGTTAAAACTAGCTTATGTAGAAACACAACCAGTTGCCATACTGTGAATGTGTTTGGACCTTGGAGTCTGCAGGTACAATATCTACAGAGAAGAGTTACAGGTAACTTAGCTAGCCTGCTAACAACAGTAAGTTTAAAAGTCATGTCTAATGAAAATATCAGGATGATGTGGATAAATAAACAGGGGGCATTCATTTAAGGTTATTTTAAACAACAAGGACGTATTTCCCACATCTCTAGTCAAGGTACACTGTGCATAATTGACATGAAATTATCAACACTTAGCAGAGGTGTTAGCTAAAGTTAATATTAGGATAAGTAACTAGCCATAAGCGCGGCTACATGAACGTCGTGACAATACGTCGTCGTAAACAAACATTATCAAGTGGGCGACAAATCCACATAAATATATGTGTGTGTGTGCGTGTGTGTGCGTGTGCGTGTGTGTGTGTGTTATTTTTAGGGGTGTCTGTGTCCACTGTACCGTTTGGTGTCCAGACATTAGACGGTGACCTGTGACCCGCAAGTGTCGTCGGCTGTCTGACTGTAATGAGCCATGCAGGCCTCAAGATGGCGCCCCAGCCAGACTTTACTGCTCCGTCCAGCTGCTGGGCTGCAGCGGTGGTTGTGGGTTTCAGGAGACTTCTCCATTATTTCATCTCACTAAGTCCATTCTACGATCATCTTTCTGTAGCTGTGCTGTTTTCTGATTTACCAGTGGTAATTATTTGTTTTCAATGAAGCTTTGACATTTACCTCAACAACCACTGAAAACCGTGGAAGTTTTGCTTCATCCCCTTTTTTTCAGAGGTGTAGGCTGCTTCCTGTGATCAGCTACAAATGTTCTCTTTTTATAATATATATATTAAATACAATAAAATAAAGAGATATAGTATAGCATTGAAGTGTCTGATGCTCACAGCCATTTGGGGCATTTTAAAAAGTAAATGTTTTTATCCTTTAAATGTTTCATTTTATTACCAATTGCACTGATTACATACCATTGTTTAGAATTAATTAATGCATTTATATAGTATTTATGTCTAAGTTACTGTGTTTTAGTAACTCCATCAAATTTATCTCACACAACTGAGTATAAAAAATAGCACATGATAATATTTATCATTAATACTAACTTTCCTATTTATTATGTTGCAATGTATTTATAAAAACAAATAAATGAGTTACACTTGCAACTGATAAGACATTTATTGTGCTTTGCTAAACTTTAAACTTGTCTGAATCGTTTTCCAACAACGCAGTGTCATTAAATGTACTTTTTTTTTTTTGTTTAGCTACTAAAAAGTTTCTATCTACAGAATTGTAAAAGCAACTAGGAAATGAAATCTCAACATTTGTTCTAAGTTGTAGTTGGTGTTGTAGTTGATAATGAATGCAAAAGGGCTTGTTTTGTGCTTTACTGCATCTACATAGTGTTGAGAAGTTGGGGGATGGGAATGGGTTTGGGGCAAAGAAAGGCATGCTGCTAGCTGTTTGCAGGTAAACCAATCTGAATACATTAATGATTATGGGGCTATCTCCTGTCCTTTCAAACTGTTATCTCCTGTCCTTTCAAAGTGAGGAGGGGGCGAATAGGGAGGGGGGATGGGATAAAGTGTCTCACACTCACTGAGGGGGGAGGCCAGTTTGCCATGTTTTGTGGGGGAAGGGGCACAAACAGAGGGCCACTGGGCCCCTCTCTGGGTCTCCATGGAATGTATTTGAGCCTCTCTCACCAAGACAGACCTACAAACAGACCAAAAAACACACACAATAAAAACAAACATTTTACTTTTGGGTTCATCATGTTCTGAATCCTTTTAAAGTCCCCTTACAAACAACCTGCACAGACCACATAATTATGTTTGCATCAATATTGGGAATAATTATAGGAATACTTCATTCTGTCTTTTGAGCAATAGAAAACTTAGCAACTATGTTTCCACCATATAAGCTGTAAGGATCCTGCATACACACCCTTTCATTTTTACCAACTTCAAGTTTTTATTTAGAAAGTTGCAGAGAGAATTGTGGTTAGACAGTAAAGAGCAAGTGAGGAGCTCATTACCTATTTAATACCGCCTCATGTTCACTCCCCTCACCCTCATCATGCTGTTCTCCCTCCATCGTTGGCCCTTACTCCCTCCTCTCTTGTAAAAATTCAAAACTGGTGTGCCTGAGAGATCACCATGGAGACAGTTTCTTCCATCATCTGTGGCTTCTCAGGGGCCAAAGTGGCTCCACGCTCACTCCAGTTAGTATGACTGAAAGTGGACCAAGAGGCCGTGAGGTATCAGGCTGCACATGTTGTGCATGCAAGTAATTGGCAGCTAGTTTGTATCGCAAGGCACTAGAAGGCCAAAACGTGTGATGCAGGGACAATACAGTTTACTTAAATCGTGATTTGGCAGTTACATTTATTTATGCTTAATTAAGGCCATGCAATACTTTAAATTATAATGACAGTTTAATATTCTATGGAAATAGTATTGGAAAAGCATCCAGCTTTTTTTCACTAGGGCCTATTAGAAGCCACAAAACAGCCAAGCTTTATACAATGTGTACATGCTAACCTTAAATAAATTCAAAATGCTTATTTAGGTTTTTTCTGAATAATTTGAAGTAATCTTAAATCATTTAAATATGCGATTTTTCTGTTTCTTTTATTTTTTTATTATTTATAATTTTTTTTCTCAATGATTAATTTTTAGTTTTTTTATTTTTTGTACAGGGACAATATCGTAATATTCTATGGACATGATAGGTCATTTGTATAAGGCTGCTTTTCTGCCAGCCTATAAATAAAAATTTAAATCTCTCCCCCTAATAATATCAGTGACTGCTGCTCATATCACCTCGGGGTGCTGGTGTACGTGTAGTTCATTTTCACAACGTGCCAAAGCGGTTTGATGCGGCTCGCGGAGGTCAAACGACTCCATTACCCAGAAGTCCCGTGGCTCTGCTACAAGCTGGCTCCCTCCGCTCTGGGAGTGTTTCCCATTTAAACAAACACGGTCTTGCCGAAGATGGCGGAGAGTTTGTAGAGGCGTAAAAGAAACTGCTGTACTCAATGAAAGCGTCGAAGCCGGTGAGTTCTCAGCTAATATTTTGCGATTCTTTTAAACCCAAGTTTTAAACACTGATACTAGTTTGTGTTTGAACCCGCAAATTTGTCTCAGAGGCAGTTGGTGTTGCTTCGCTTCCGAGCAGGCTGTGTGTTTTTTTTGAGCTACCGTGATACAACGAACCACCTTACCACTGTCTATTTGTTATGGAATGTTTGTAGTGATGTTGTTGGCTTCTGAACTGTAAATAATATACTAATTTACGACATGCTAGGCTCGGTAGTGTTCCCTTCTTTTCGCTTTTCGTGTTTCTTGGCGTTTCCATTATCCGCTAGCTACAAAGTTTACGAGACATAGCCTCTGATTCGCTGGGTGCAATAGCCTAGCTGTTAATACTCAACACTGCCCATGAGTGAACTCTGTTGTGTTTTAAAACCTTCACGGTAACTTTGTGGGTCGTGTCCATTGTTCGCAACACATGTGGATGGATTCAAAGCCACTACATTTTCTAGCAGACAGTCCGCCTTTGCTTTACAGTTTCAGTTGAGCTGCGGTTGCTGGAACCGTCGGCGTTCACAGCTTATGTTAGTTACACCGTAGTAGTTGTCCTGTGTAAGAAAATCCACACAGAATGTTTGTTACGGTTGTCGAGCCTCAATTATGTGTGTGCTCTGTGGTAAACAACCCGAATTACATGCTTTTTGTTTAGGGGAATATCTGATACACAATGGACAATGCCATTTAACTAGTGGAAACTAATTAAGCCTAAATTAAGTTGCATAGAAATAACAGAATACAAAGTGCCACTTTTCAGAAAGGTTGCATTAAATTACTAGTGTTTTTTTGTTTGTTTTTTTAAATGTGTGATGTTAACCAGCTGCAGGTCAGGATCAGCCTTGTGTTTGCCAGTAGCCCACATTATTGACCCTCACTGCTGACAACCAAACTTGAACTGACGAGCTCAGCGTGGCTGCTCTGGAGAATCAAAAGCATCTGCTATTTATTTGCCTGGCTGTAGCGAGATTACGCATCCATGATTGTAATGGCCCATCACACTATGATTAAATGTTGGTTTTCACTGCTGATAAATCACATATAGGTGCATGTGTGTGTGTGTGCGAGACAGACAGACTGGCAGAGGCAGATGAATGTGTTTCTCTGCAGAGGAAGATAAACACTCCAGGGTTCAGGTAGAGTCCTGGTTTGCTTTCCCTCTGCTTGACAAGGTGTATGCTGAGCACTCAGTTTTTGAGGTTGTAGGAGGACATTCTTGGAGAGCGTGCTCATGTGTGGTCAAACAATGAGGTGGTAGGCTTAGTCATTCCACTGGAACGGTTGAGGTCTAGGTGTGCTGTCGCTCTCTCTGCCTGGGGCCATCCCTGCCAATACTTGCAGGCATTTACATCTCAATGCTTATTTACATGCAGGAGCCTTTAAAATCATCTATGTGTTTTGTCACATTGCAGTACTGTCTTGCTACTGGGTTGTTGCTTACTGATGAGTTTTCCTGCTTATGTGATTTCATGCGGGGCACTGAATGAATAGTCTGCGATATCTCAGTAATGCAGCCATGAAGTGGTATTTGACTGGGAGTGAATGGTGTCGCTGGCCGTCCGATGAGCTAACTTGTCTTTATTTTGAGTCTGATAGAATGCCATTACTCAAACCCACGTATGTGGTATTTTTGTAAGTGATAGAATGACCACTGTGGGAACCTGTCCGATGAACTGCTTCTGCTCATATTCTTGGCAAATGGAGCCCCCTGTCCCCCATTCTCTGGCCCTTTATCTACCACTTTCTTTCTCCCTCACACAGGGTGTCAGGCTGTGTTAACAATGAATCAATCTTTGGGGGGATTCTTTGACTGCAGATGGGGTGCAGAAGTGACTGCGATGCATGGCTTTCACTCTTTGTCTGCTGGCCCCTGTGCTCTCAATAATTCATTAACTTATCACTTTTTCTCATGGGTCTGGGAGAAGTCTCTGTGTGGTGGGCGACTCTGTGGTTTCATTAAACAAACATAAATTTAGTGGCATCACTAATATTTAGATCATACTCATAGGGATTGCTTGTGATGCTGAATATTTTAGAACTTGTCTATAATACAAAAAATACCTGTTTTTTTGTGAGACGGTTTCCAAGCACACTTGGTAAACAAACTTACAGAGCAGGCATGTTCCCCAGTCCACTGTGTAAGCGTATGTGTGCAGTATTTGAAACACAATAGATCCAAACTGCACTTTCTGGAGCAGTACATTGAATTAGAAGCCACAACCTTATGTTTTAAATAATTTTAAACAAATGTTTAAAAAAGCAGCAAAAAAAATGTAAAACCTCTATCCTTTACTTTTGTTTTTTGTTTTTTTTTCCGCATTTGGTCAATATTTATGCTGTGTAATTTCACTTCTAAACACAGAGTGATACTAGACAGAAGAAAGAAAAATAAGTGAAGAGCTCACCACTTTTGGGCGCCACTTTTTGATGACTGTCTAATCTGTCTTTGTCAAGCAGCATTTTTGTGTCAGTGATGTCTGAATAGATGGCATTCTTTGAGCGTTTCATCAGTCTGTGTGCTTTAAGTGAGACTGAGAGTCATAGATAATACGTTTAGTTTCGAGTAACTGCCAATCAGTCATGTGGTATGTGTTCAATTCAAGATTAATTGGTGTGTGGCTAAGCAGTGGATCTGAGAGTACTCTTAATGACACAGAGCTGCAAGGACAATCTGATTGTTTCCTTTAATTGAAATATGACTCCTTGGTCTTAGTACCTTTTTGTGAGACAGCAATATGGAGAGTGCTGGGTTAGCCAAGGAAAACAATTTCTCCCTCTAACTAATAAAATACAACCAGAACTTGTAATTAAGGGAATTTGTGCATCTTTAAATTATCCATCATAATTATTTTTGATAGGATGTACTGTGTGCTGTTTTCAAGCCAAGTTAAAGTGTTCCATTCTCTGAAGTCTAACTCCAGACTAGTTAATCTTCACTTTGACTTGACATTCAAGGCAGTTTTACAACCAGTTTTAAGAATTCAAAAGTTTCCTGTGGTCATCCCAAGCTGTGCAAAACATCCTGTTTAGTCCGCACATCTCAAGGTCACTCATTCAGTGACAATGATCTGTATTTGTGTTTGTTGAAAGTGCATATACTGCACACTGGTGTGTTGATGTGGGATAACTCAACAGGTAGGTTTGCTTTTTGTGCCTACCTCTGTAGAGCTAAATATAGAACCCACTGCTCAACAAGACAGTCATGTTTCCACTGCTAAGATAATTGCACTTACTTTGCCCAAACAAGTGAGAGTATGAAATGGGAGCTGCTGAAACCAGATAAACCAGAGGAAGACAGACTGCCAGCTCACAGAGACCAAAGTCAAGTGGTGCAGTTTGCACTGTGACTCTGTTTGAAGTCACATCTCATTCATCCCCGTGGTCCCCTCACTTCTTCAACTCTGAGGTAAAACCCAAGTGTTAGGCTAGCCGAGCCATATGTGAGCCATGCACACTTCTAAAAGCCAAACGGGCAGCCTGAAGCAATCATTGCACCCAATTCTAGTTTATATCCAGCAAGGATTTGGAACATTTCTCTCTCTGTAGTCTTCATTGATTGGATGAAGGCAAGAGTTTATTAGGGAAGGGAGTGCCAAGAGCTTTGTCCCCCTCCCCTCTTTGCCCTTCCTCTTTAACTTCAACTCCCCCTTTAACTTTCGCTTCCCCAGCTGAAGAATGCTCGTAAAACGGGTTCACCTGAACAAGCCAGTGGGAGGGTAGAACCCTGGCCTAGTTTTGTTACTATTGTAAAATGTTAGCAAGACCTTGTTTGTGTTTTGTTTAGGGCCCCCTTTTATAAAAATGCTTTGGGGAGAGACAGCAAGGGTGAAAAAAAGTTTGGTTTGTGAGATAACTGCTACCAGATGCTCGCTCTGTCTGTTATTTAGCATGAAGAGAAGGAGAGAGAGACGCTGGTGAAGAGAAAAAGAGACACTGTCGTTTCTGAATGAACTTTTCAACTGCTACATGGACACTCTCCATCTTAACTTAGTCTACAAATATCTTGTCCCATGAATACTCTGCCTTTATCAAATACAAACAAACAACAAGAAGCTTTGGTCTGGGCTGCTGTAAAGTGTCCAAGTTCTTTGTCCTAAATTTTCACAAAGCTTGCCTTTACTAATCTCAGTCCTCCACTGCTCATAATTCAGCAGTGTCGATTGGTTAGTTGTGTTTCTTTGTGTTTACATTGTGCTCCCCTTTCTCTGTACATCCACAAACTGAACCTGGGTTGATGTTGAACTTATGTGGCAGTGGGTGTGGTTTCTGGGTCTGTCTGGATTGAGAAGCAGCTGTGGCTGGCATGGCACTGCAGTTGCAAGTTGTAAGAAGATATGTGACCATGCAAGCAACAACTGAAGGGGGACGGTCTTCTAGTTCATCTGCAATTTAAAATCTCCCTTTATTAAGGAGATGAGAGCAGGTTGCAAAGAGTGAGCCCACAGCACTCGGCTCAACACCATTTTTACTTTCCACTGCGTTTTTTTTACTTTATTGCAGCTTTGAGTTCAAACGAAAGTCAAGGCATGAATGACAGACTTCCACGCCATCGTTAAAGGCTCCAGACTTACTACAGCATGTCAACGCTGGCAAGGCATGTGTCGGATAATTTATTACACTTATTTTTTAATTGGGCTGATTTTTTTCCGCTCCTTTTTGGATAAAGTGGAAAATGTTCCTTTTACCATTACTGTTCCTCTCTCTGCCTGGTGACGTCACCCCTGTTTATGTGGCTTGTCGTTAAGGCAACACTCTAATCAAAAGGTTGCTGCTCTGGAGCTTACTGTTGTCCTCAGAATAGCAGAGCTAACACTTGCCTCCCGGCATTGCCACATCACAGCAAGCTTTGCATTGAAGTCTTATTTAAAATACGAAACAACATTTCCAAAAGTTGGGCATTAATCCGATCTAGTTTTCGTATAGAGAGGGTTCTAGGTTGGCAAGTGATCACCATGTTTCCATTTGGCCT